AGAGACAGAGAGAGAGAGAGAGAGTACATATAATCCTTAAATAACTGTTAGCTGGATGCTAACCAAATAATAGAGTTTTTACCATTAACTGCGCCAACAGAAACTAGCATTGGATAACTGTCGTTCAGGTGGTCTGTACCTGATGCTCCTGTAGCTCCTCCTCCACTGCTGCCTGTGTCTCGCACCTGTCCTGCTCCTCCTGCGCAACCTCCTGTTCTTCACCTCTGCTGCTCCTCCCCCTGGCTTTTCGGGCCTGTCTTCCTCTCCCGCCTCTCCAACCGCCTGCGCAGCTGCTCCTGCCGCTCCTTCAGCTCCCCGCACACTGGCATGCTGGAGGAAGCGAGGACCACATACACACAACACATTATATACAACACATCGTACAGGTTATCACCGCACGATGACTGCAACCCTCCCCTTCTATTACCTTCCTCAGCTGACCGCCAATACCTTCCTCTCTTCCTCCGTGAGGAGGACCAACTGTCTCTCCTTCTCCCTCCGTTATTCTCTCCGTCTCTTCTCTCCTTTCTCTCAGCACGGACAATGTAGGCCTCCCACCATCCTCTGCACTCTGAACAGACAGGAAACATTAACTGAGATTAAATTGTTTATAATTCTGATTAAAGTGGTTATATTCTGGATTAAAGGTTCATATTTGATTAAGTGTTTAATTCTGTATAAGAATATATTCTGGATTAAAAGGTTACATTCTGTGATAAAGGTTTATATTCTGGATTAAAATATATATCTGGATACAAGGGTTTATACCTGGATTAAAGTGTTTATATTCTAATTAAAGTGTGATATTCTGGATTAAAAGGTTGGTATATTCTGGATTAAGGTTTAATTCTTGGATTTAAGTGTTAGTTATTTCGGATTTAAGTGTTTTATTGATTTCAAGGTATATTCTGGATTAAAGTTTATATTCTGGATTAAAGAGTGTTATATTCTAGATTAAGTGTTTATATTCTAGATTAAAGTGTTTATATTCTAGTTAAAGTGTTATAGTTCTAGATTAACTAGTGTAATACTCTGGATTTTAAGTGTTTATATTCGGATTAAGCGGGGTTTTATATTCTGGATTAAAGGTTTTATATTCTGGACTAAAGTTTTATATTCGTAGATTAAAGTGTTATTTCTGGATTTAAGTTTATACTCTGGATTAAGTGTTATTATTCTGGATTAAGTGTTAGTATTCTGGATTTAAGTGTTGATATTCTGGATTAAGGTTCAATTCTGGATTAAAGTTTTATATTTTGGATTTAAGTTTATATTCTGGATTATAAGTGTTTATTGTATTCGAATTTAAGTGTTTATATCTTGATAAAGTGTTTATATCTGATTAAGTGTTTATATTCTGGATGAATGTTATATATTCTGGATGAAGTTTATATCTGGAATTTAAGTGTTTATATTCAGGATTAAGTTCCATATTCTGGATTAAAAGTTTATATTCTGGATTTAAGGTAGTATCAGATTAAAGTTATATGCTGGATTAAAGTTATATTCTGATTTAGTTTATATTCTGGATTAAAGGTTTATATTCTGGAATTCGGTTCGGGTACAAGCGTGTTGTGGAAACTAAACTCACCTGAGCTGGCTGCAGTCCAGTTTGAGGGTTTTGACCTCCCTCTGCAGAGAGCTGACCTCTGACCTCAGAGCCTGCAGCTGTGATTGGCTGTCTGACAGCTCACACTCCAGCTGCAAACACACACACACACACACACAGATAAACAGTGTGATGAACTGCCCAGGAGCCTCTGAGCCAGGCACTGACACAGAGAGAGAGAGAGAGAGTGGTAGAGCGAGCAGCGGTACCTGCAGCAGCTGTTTGTTCAGGTCTCTCTTGTCCGAGGCCAGAGCCGAGGTCAGGGCGGTCATTTTGTCCAGAGCGTCCCGCCCTTCCTCCACCTCCCGCTTCAACACACACTCAGAGGACGAGAGATGCAACACACACTCCCTGGACTGCCGGGGGGAGGCAGAGGGGGAGTCATTATAAACAGTAGTTATAAAGAGAGGGAGAGGCTGCGTTCAGAATACTTTAAAAACCTTCTGCAGGGCGTCTCTGGCGTCTGCAGCCTCTTCTTCTGCTCTCTGTCTGTCCAACTGCTGTCTCTCCAGCGCCCCCTACAGGAGGACAAAGATCAGCATGAGAAACATTCACAGGAAGAAGAATAAAAGGAAGAATCGATGTTTCACCTTTAGAGTGTGGATCTCCAAACGGTGCAGAGTCTCTCTCTCAGTCAGCTGGACGTTCTCCAGCAGCTCAGTTTCAACTCTGAAACAAAACCAGTTCATCAACATCTGATTAAACTGCAGCGAGACGTCGCTTCACCTTCTGAGAGCGAACTGGAGCTGCACGAGGCGTTATACTGGTTCACCAGAGAGAACGCAGAAATAACAATAAGGTTCACTTTTTATCCTGATAACAGGCTAACAACTCAATATAATGACATAAACTACAATTATTCAGCATCTGTATTAATGTATTGACATTTATATCACAGATTAATTAATGATGGTATTCTGTTGACTCATCATTAAACACAGCCTGGATAAAGCAGAAAGTGAATGGATTAAACAATTAAAACAATAACTGATTTTATAGAGCGATTTAATAACATTTTATAAGCAACATTACAGTTTTTAATCAGCTGTGAACAATAATGAAGCCGTCTGACGAACCGTCTGTGTGTCTCTGTCTCCAGCTGTCTGTTTCTCTCCTCATGTCTGTCTCTCTCCCTCCTCAGCCTGTCGTTCTCTCTCTTCACCTCCTCCTCCCTCCTCTCCACCTCCTCTACCTGCAGACGCAGCGAGGACAATGTCTCACGCTCCCTGAGACACACACACACACACACACAAAGCTTCCTGTTTTATTTTGAAATAATAAAACCGTTATTTTGAAATAAAACTGTGTGTGTGTGTTAGTGTGTGTGTGTGTGAGAGAGTGTGTGTGTTAGTGTTAGTGTGTGTGTGTGTGAGAGAGTGTGTGTTAGTGTGTGGTGTTTGTGAGGAGTGTGTGTGTGTGTGTTAGTGTGTGTGTGTGTGTGAGAGAGTGTGTGTGTTAGTGTGTGTGTGTGTGTGTGAGTGTGTGTTAGTGTGTGTGTTAGTGTGTGTGTGTGTGTGAGTACCTGCTCAGTGTGTCCAGAGTGTGTGTGAGCTCCAGCTGTGTGTGTTGCGTGTGCGTGTGCAGCTGCTGGTTGTCGTCCTCCAGCTGTTTCAGTCGGAGCTGCAGAGCCGATTTCTCCTCGCCGAGCCGCCGCAGAGATAGCTCCGCCCCCTGACACACACACACACATTAAATTATTATGAACCCATCCGTGACCTCTGACCTGCAGTAGAGTTCCTGCTGTGTGACCGACCTGCAATTCCTCGTGTCTCCACTGCAGGGCGCTCTCAGTGTGAGACAGGACCGACAGCAGGGAGGACAGATCCAGGACGCTGTCTGAGGGGACGCACAGAGACCTGCTGCTGCTGAGGACTCTGGACTGAAGACACAACACACACACACACACTGACATCTGACCTCTGACCCGTGAGGATCTAATGTAAAGCTCCACACTCACCAGTTTGATCACAGCCTGACTGACAGACTGCAGGTTTCTCTCTGTTTCTCTATGTCTCTCTACCTCTCTCTCCCTCTGACTGTCGACGGCCTGCAGTGAGTGAGACAGCTCTGCAACCCTGAGAGAGACAGACAGGCTGTCAGACTCAGTGAGTGAGACAGCTCACAACATGTAGAAACTACAGAATAAAATAAAATATATGAAACAGTTTATAGAAACACATTAAAAATAAAAACTGAATTAGATTTGGGGATGTGTGCGACTAGTTGTAATATATATTATTAATATACATATATTAATAATATATATTAATATGTATTATGAATATATATTATTAATAATAATACATAAATGATAAATATATATTAATAATATATGTCAGCTAACTACTAGCTCAGTTTCTAACTGAGGAAAACAAAGAAGAAGAGAGTTCACCGTTCATTCAGATGTAACATTTCTCTCTCATGAAGAAGCTTCAGCTCTGAAAGCTCTCGCTCTTTCTCCTCCCACCTCCTCTGCTCCTCCTCATGGTGCTCCAACTCTCCCAAGGTGAAGGTTCCCAGGGTGGAGGAGGAGATGTGAGGAGGAACGGACAGCGAGGAGTCCCGAGGAGGGAGGACCAGGGTGGAGGACAGAGGAGGAGAGGAGGAAGGGGGAGGGAGGTCAGAGGGGAGAAGAGAGGGAGGCACAGGGGAGGAGGGTTTGATGGGAGGAGCACTGAGCCTCAGGGAGGAGGAGACAGAGTCACAGCTGGACAGGAGAGAGGAGGAGAAACGGGAAAACTCCGCCCTCAACTGCCACAGATCCCTACAGACAGAGACAGGTTGGTCAACTTACAGCAGGTTGGTCAACTTATCTACTTATAACAGGTTGGTCAACTTATCTACTTA